CGTTGATTGTACACTTTTTCAGTGACAACTTTTCCTTTCCACATGTAACGTTTTACTTTCGGCATTTTCGTAGCGCAAGCGAAAACTAACCTCAAACGATGCGTCTGTATATTACACGTGCTCAGAGCACACTTTCGATACAGGAGGCTCTATTGGAAAAAGTAACGGACCTCTGTAGTATTTGTTATCCTTTACGGAGAGTGACGGAGAGAGAGGTTCTAATGTGACGTCATAGTGCGCTGTTGCCGGATCTCTGTACTTACGAGTTCAGCGAGACCAAGCGAGACCGTTCTCTGTTTGGTTTTTATTCAATATTTCAGAAAATATCCTCGAAGTCATAATTTTTTTGGTTCTAATTTGTTTGTAAGATGTTTATTAATATTTCTGCAAAGTTTTAAAAGGATGCCATATTTTCTTCGATATTAATTTCTCAAATGAAGTTGAAAAAACAGTGAAATTTGATGAATTCCCATAAGAGCCCATGTTAAATTCAAATTGTTATAACTTTTAAACGGGCCTCGCAAACTTGTTCAAACTTGGCACAATGCTTTATTATTATAATACTCATCACCTGACAAAGTTTGAAGAATTTGCCATTTTTTCTTCTAAGGGGTCATACAACCTTAACAGATACCATAGCGCATGCGCATATGGCTTCTGCATTCTGCTCATGACTCCTGCAATATTATGTGCTTCCACCTTTAATAGGAGACTGTGGCCTAGTTTACACCGATCTCTTGATACGCGTATCAAATAGTATATTTGAACTGATCAGCCAATAATCAGCCTTATTTACTAGTTATTTACTATTTAATACGCGTATCAAGTGATCGGTGTAAACTAGGCCTGTGATACCGGCCATAGTATAACTAGTATGCTCACTCTTATGCTAAGACTCCATAGACGCGGAAACGCCATGCGGTAGAGTGCGTTGACCAATCACAAATTTTGATTTTGCCGCAGGCGACTTGCGGCAGTCTTCTGATTGGTCAACGCACTCTACCGCACGGCGTTTCCGCGTCTGGGTGCGTTCAGAAAGTCACCCAACTTACCAAACTCATCAAAACCCCCGTTCAGAAAGTCTCGGACAAACCTCGGGTGACTTAGCGGAAGCCTTGCGATTGGACAGTCGAACGAAGGTGGGGAAATGTAGGCGGGCGACAAATTGACGAAAGAGCCCGACATTACACGGAAAGTGACGAAACTCTTAAAATGCTTCAATTTTGTCGGTAGTGGGGGTCACCCAGCTCCTCGATGATTTTCGATGGATGAGCTGGGTGACCCCCACTCTTCCATCAAACTAAAACCCGCGGATTTTAAATTGAAAAGACATACAATGGCCATTAGAAGAACTTCCATTAAATAATTAAATAATCGAAAAAGTAGGGTAGTGTTAATAATATAAAATTTTTTAACATATCTGCAGAGTCAGAATTATCTCCCTGTAATATTTGAATGAGAAGGACAATGAAATTAAACATTGTCTTGAAATAAATTGAAACGTAAACTTCTAGTATAGAAATTCCATGATTAATGCAGACATAAAAAATTGTGTGTAAAAAAAGTAACAAAAATAAATTTTGTTTCCTAAAAGTTATATGTTGAATAAATAATAAAAAAGTGTATAATTAATAGAAAAAATAAACTATAAATTAAATTAAATTAATTGTCGGTAATTCTATAAAATGTTAAAATTGTATATCATATGACGGTAAGAATCCTGAGAAGAGCGATCAAGTCGCTAGGTTTAGGTAATAATCATCCGAGGGACCTAGCATCGAAAGCGTCAGTCAACTCCACGGCAGTCCACGGTCAACTCTCAAGTCAAAAGAGTCGCGCTTATCGTGCACGTGTTCGGACGTGTTTGTCCTGAATAAATTTTTGAAGATTGCTGATGCAATCACAATTTCCACTCAGACTTCGCTACGCGATCAGTGATTCAAGCTTTGTTAAACAAACAGTGGCAAATCTGGCCGTATTGTCCGCTGAAAAGCGGCAGGAGCCAATAAAAAGTAAGAAGAAGAAGAAGAAGAACTCAAGTCAAAGGATTCACGTCAAGGCTCGAGCCTCGAGGAAGGTTTTGAAAGACAATGGATTCTTGCTGGCGATTTTGATTCACAGTCCCGTTCTCAATGAATTCAGATTAACGTAAGTAATTGCTCAATATAACAAGTACACATTCTCATCCCGATATTTCGTTATTCATACTCATGTTTATACTTTTTCTGCTCGATTTCGGAGCTACTCTCGCAACTGAATATTAATCATTATTTTCTAATTTTCCTATTGTTTTTATTAATGTCCTTTTAAATGCATTAATGCAGCACGCAATTATTTCTGGGTGAAATGCCACTTCTACTTCCTATTCTCGTAATTTATCCAAGAGCGGTAGTAGTATATCAGGATTTTCTTCCACGGTATGCAGTCTTCTTTGGAAAACTGGCATATAAGGGGTATTCAAATAAGTTAAAGTTTAACGGTTTGACAGGTTATGTCGGGTTAAAGTCGAGTAAAAAGTTAATTAATTAACTTTGGGCGCGCTACTCTTTAAGGTTATGTAAAATACATAAGTGACTCATTAACCTATCACATTAGTCTTTGGGTTAAAAGTTTAAAAATTAATTTTTTACCCTACTATAACCTGTCAAACCGTTAAACTCTAACTTATTTGAATATCCCTAAAGAGATTGCCAATAATCTTGGAGTAAATTAATATTTAATTCCTTATATGCAGATGTCCCTATGCGAGGTATTAGAACCACTTGATTACGAGGAATTCTTGGGACAGCATCAGTCAGTGCTGGACCGTGATCCTTTAAAACCAATACCAGATTTTCCACCGGGAGACGTCAAATTGAGAGTCGTAAAGAGGAAGATTCGAACAGAGGAGCCAGTAGTACCGCACGAATCAATGTAAGAAAATAGTCGAAACGCTATTAATTACAATACAGTTATTTAAAACTTGTCATCCATTCTTTATTTTGATCATTTGGCTTTCAGTGATACCGTGTCGCCTTATGTGAAAAAATGTTGAAAGTTTTACTTCAGACTGGGTCGTAATACATCGTAAATACAAAGGTAGAATCTCACTTATTGCCAGAGACAGATTGATTCAGGATACACTTAGACAAGATTTCGAGGTACCTAGTGCTGGAGATAAAATTAATTTATTTGTGATAAGCAGGAAGTAAAAGCGATTTATCTTAATTAGGTAGATCAAGAAGATGCAAATGGTTGTGTATCACTGAACGAGGAGGATGATTTGTCCAATTCCGGAGATACTCCGAGAAGATCTTGGGCAACTCTGGATTTGCGGTATTCGCAACATGACTCTCTTCTGCCGAGTTTGTTAGATCGTGTTTGCCTCGAAACGATCGATCAGATGAACGAGCAGAAAAGATTGGAGGATCGACAGGTATAGGATTATAAAGCGGCAAGTTTGTTTATTTTGTTTTTATTAAATATTCTTAATATTTGTTATTCAATATTTTATTAAATATTTTATTAAATATTGAATATTTATTAAATATTTTATTAAATATTGTTCCGGATTCGGCGTTGCTGATACATTCTATTCCGCAATATTTAGACGAGTCCGTAAGTCAACAACAGCGTGTAAAAAAAAGTAATTGCTACTCTGAAATGATGTATACAAAATAGGCCAAGACATGCCCATTTTATGAAGAATTAGATGAAATTTTAGGCAAAAAGCCATGCGTCAAGCCCGTTGCACTGGCCTCCAACAGGCGTCCCGTTCTGGATAAAATGTGCACGGATGTAGACTGTAAAGAAGAACCTGAGAAAAAGAAGAAGAAAAGTAAATCCGACGTTCTCGATGAAATTAGAGAGTGGAGGGTGGAGTCGATGGAATATCGAAGAACCACTGATGCCGAGAAGCAGAAACAGCGCGAGGAGCAACTTGAAATTGCACGGAAGAGTATCGAGTCTATGGATGCTCGCATGGGTCAGTTAATTGATGTCTTGAAGAAAAATTAAAGGTATCCCAGATAGCACAACGCAACTAATTATACAATTTAAATAGTTCATTTGCAGTATTAGCTGAGATTATTCACTATAAATTTTTTCACTATAAATTCTTTTGAATATATAAGTTGTAGATTCTTTTTAAACGTCGTATAAATAATATAAATAATGGCTACTCTTTTACAGTTATTCCTTCGGCTCTGGACGCATAGTATATAACAAGTTCAAGTCCGTGGTATCGTACGTGATTGATGATCTACCATTGTTCGATAAGAATGCAGTGGTTACTGTACCGAAGTTGTCGGTGTATGATTCACTTGACGAGGAAGTAATATAGAGTTATCTGGAATTCTCGCTCGCCTCGATGAAGAAAGGCGCCTGCAGTGAGCAGTCCAGCCGTATGACGGCCATGGACAACGCCACCAAGAACGCCGGAGAGATGATCGACAAACTCACTCTCACGTTCAACCGCACTCAACGTATAACGTTGTAACTTTATAACGTTTGTATTATATATTAAGTACCAAAATTGAATTTCTATCAGTTCGGATATCAGAAGCATGTAACAACATGATCTTTTAATCTAGTTATAAAAGATTACAGATTCATCAATTTAGGAAGGTGTGGTATCTCTTTCTTTTCTTACTTTTTAATATAAAATAGTTGTTGTAGGTCACACAATCTTGTGATCGCGTAATAAAAGGAAGAGAGAAAGGAAGGAGATTCTATAATTGCAATGTGTGTTTGCAGTACCGTAAGAATTTTAAAGATAATTTAAAGTGTATAAAATGACGTGGCCTTTAGAGTACTAAATAAGACGATTACTTTTTAACTACAACCTTGTTTATGTACTTCTAGCTTGTATATAGAACGATATTGCGTGAATGATGGATGCATTTTGTAATCAAATGCAGAAATATTTCGGTTTCTGCCATGTCGCATGACGTACGTAATAATACAATTTTGCAAAAACGATTTTCGAAGTTAGAGTTTCTTGTTGCTAGTTTGTAGTCTTAACACGTGTAATAATGATTATCGACTCGAGCGGTATTTTTGAGTTGCACCGGACATTTTGTAAAGGAGAAATTTTTAAAAACCATGAAAGCAACGCACATACAATTTTAATTTCGTAAATGCACAATCCGAATTTATTAACGCTTACGAATGATTTATTAATGTTCAGCTCGAAAGTTTTGCTAATTAGCGTTCTCATTATTATGTAACAAACTGACAAAGAGAAATAAAATCTATATTTTTACATAAGCAATGCTGAGAATGTAAGGGATACATAATCTATCCCTTATCTGTAGACAAGAATGCATGTCTGAGAAGCTTACGTAACTGTGGGCTCGCACTTTTGTAAGGTAAACTTAATTATAGGCGCAGCGTATTTATGAATTGTTTCAAGTGTATACTAAGAAGTATAGAATTTTTAATGATTTTATGTTTAAGGGAAAAACATTTAGAGTACTCTTCATTTCAAATACTTAAACTCTGCCCTATCGATTTATATGTTAAGGGGCAGATTAGGCGACTATTAAGGGCTACTAAAAATATATATGTATATATTTCACAAATATATACATATATTGGTAAAGCAATATACTCTTCTTGCTCGTTCATATTATGTAACAATAGAACTTAATTCACTCCCCCTTTTTTTCTTTTTTTTTACCACCGTCATTCACATTAGTTGCAATAACTCATGTATGGTGTTTGCAATTTTTTCATTTATACCCTAAATTAATTGTTGCGACAGCAACGTTGTTTCGATGCTATATTGCTGTTGCTAATGCACTAGTTATACCAAAAAATTCATCGTAGCACAGCAGAACGATATAAATTAAAATTATTCAATTTATACAGCGAATAAAGGGATTTTATTGTCGACGAGTATATCGGTATACTCTAAAACTATATGTATAAAGAAATGCATAATAAAGGAATTTATACTATTTGTAACATTTGTACCATTTATTACTTGAATTTTCAATTTTATTTGGAAACAAAATTTGATATATTAGAAACATAATTATACTATTTAGGTGGTCAATGTAATGTCATTTAATATAAAATATAATAAACTTTTCTTGGCGCAATTAGCCTTTAAGAAGGCAAAAATAGTATCTATAATTAATTATAATGTAGTTTTTGTATAAAATTATGTATACAATTTTTTGTATAAAATACTAAGCCTGTTCATTTTCGATGCACTTTTGAACTAATGCAATAAGTTAAAACGAAACAAATATATTTTGGGGTCTACAATGCGAGTCGTAAGTCGTAAGTTATAAGAAACTGACTAATCGCAGTCGATTATTCTCCTCAAATTCGACTTAATTGGTCAATTTCTTACGACTTATGACTTACGACTCGCATTATAGACCCCGTATAACCTATTGCACTAGTTCAGAAATGCAGCGAAAATGAACAGACTTACTATGAGAATCACAGTGTAAATTACTATTTATTATTATTCTAGCATATTTTTTTTCACTGATGTATATAAATATTCGATGCAAATATCAATAGAAATAATATCAAATTTAAATTACGCGCTCAGTTCTCTGGGCGTGTCAAATAGACACGCCCATCCCCCACCACTTTGGGTGAGTTTGGTGTACCCCGGGTGACTTTCTGAACGCACCCCTATGGAGTCTAAAGGTGCCTTTTCATGCTGACGCTCGACGCTCATTTTCAGCGGCAAGAAGGTCGCATGACCACAATTGACGCCGGCGTCAATTGAAATTCATGAAAAGGAAAACAGCGTCAAAATTTTGGCGTCTTCGCGTTGCTTTGGCTTTGACGCTTGAAGTTGGAAAAATCCAACTTCTCTTGGCACCTTTAAGGTGCCAAGGCGCCTTTAAGGTGCCAATTCATGGGACGCTGAAAAACAGCGTTGAGCGACGTCACGTGACATCACTATGATGCCAGCGTCAAGAAAGAGAAGTTGGATTTTTCCAACTTCAAGCGTCAAAGCCAAAGCAGCGCGAAGACGCCGAAATTTTGACGCTGTTTTCCTTTTCATGAATTTCAATTGACGCCGGCGTCAATTGTGGTCATGCGACCTTCTTGCCGCTGAAAATGAGCGTCGAGCGTCAGCATGAAAAGGCACCTTGACATTTGGGCAGTGTTACTTGTAGGTACTACAACCCGGGGCCCTTTAACCGCTTGATACGTCGATGGTCCTCCAAAAACATGGCGGCGAATCGGAAACCAATAGATCAAAGGTGCCGACAAAGAGTGAGCATACTAGTTATACTATGATATTATTGGCCCTCGTACTGAAAATCTATAGTATACGTGACGTAAAATATAGATAGTGAATATCGGAATGCAGCATGCAGCCATGATCGATTCCATGAATCGGACCGCAGCCCTAGTGTGGTATAGAGTATAGGGTATAGTTCGCGCGAACACGAACGACAACTTATCTACGCACACATATCGACTACACTCGCGAAAATACCAAATAGTAAATACGCGATTATAGATTATACGAGTCGGGCAGGATGTAATTACGCGAGATGTCATGCTTGAAACGAACCCGCCGTGCCTGCCGATTAACACTCACATTTTGTAATTAGTATGTCGAGAACGCGCCGTATTGGAGATTTTAGGTAAGGTTATATCATTTGCGTAATTTCCTTGCGTGTCAACTCAACGGGTGCGCAATATAAAGAAAATATTGATATCACGCTAAAATATTTTTCAATAGCGACGAAAAATCTAATTTATCATACGATCGAGTGCCTTCGCGATAATGATCGGCAACATGTCTTTCGTGATGCTAAACAAACACAGCAATAAGAAATAAGATGTCACCATTCCGAAGGAAAAAGTCAGGGAGATCCTTCCCTGTCAAAGTCTGCACTTTGGATGCAGAACTCGAATTTAATCTAGAGGTTAGTGGATAAGTGTCACGGTCTTTTATTGAATTGCTATTATGTATTTTGTTGCACTGATAATATATCTCGCAAACTGATAAATTTTCTGTGACACAGTGGAAATCGACAGGCAGAGACTTATTTGATCTGGTATGCCGTACAATAGGACTAAGAGAGACATGGTATTTTGGACTTCAGTATGAAGATGCCAAAGGCTTTATTTCTTGGTTAAAATTAGACAAAAAAGGTGACTGTAATTTATGGCTGTTTGTTCAATATCCAGATATAGGATAGATCTAATCTGGGCTGCATTCCGATATTCACTGTCAGCAACTTTTAGTACTGAAAATCTATATTATACGTGACGTAAAATCTAGATTTGCAGTACTGACAGTGAATATCAGAATGCAGTCCTGGATACTTGGAATTGTATACTCTTTACCATAATAACACCAAACTAATTACAGTTCAAGATCAAGGCATTTCGCAGCAGTCAATAACATCGTTCATGTTCTTAGCAAAATTTTATCCCGAGGATGTAGCTGAAGAACTTGTACAAGAAGTCACTCAACATTTGTTCTTCTTGCAAGTGAAACAAGCTATATTGTCTATGGATATTTATTGTCCACCTGAGGCTTCTGTATTACTCGCCTCTTATGCTGTCCAAGCAAAGGTATTTTTTTGTAAGCTGAACTACATATATATTTAATATATTAATATATTGTTATAAATTAATTAAAGTTAAGAAAGCTAACAATTTATATAAAATATATTTTTAATACGATATATAAATATTGTTTAAATGAGACATATACATATAGATTTGTCTCATTTATATACAGTGTTTCTTATATAAAATAGGATAAAGCACATTTGTATTTTATATACGATAACTTTTATTAATACGATTAATAGAATACATTCAAAAAAGTTGAGTAAATATTAGGAACATTCAATACATACATACATTATTAAGTTATATATATTTTGGATGATGATATCAGTTGTTTAGATAAAAGATGGATCAAATTCAAAAACATTGTAATATGTCTATTAAATAGAAATCTATTTTTAAAGCTAACATCTTTGACTTGATCCACTTCTGTATATTTCATATATGAATATTGATCTAAATGTAACATCAAAGAAGTTAGTTTCTTACAAAGGTTAATTATGTTATATTTATAATAAAAAAAAATATTGATTTTTATTTTAATTATCAGTATGGTGATTATGATGAAGTTTCATATCGCCCTGGAATGCTGGCCAGTGAAGACTTACTTCCACAGAGAGTTATAGATCAATATCAAATGACACCAGAAATGTGGGAAGACAGAATAAAAATTTGGTATGCTGATCATCGTGGCATGTCTCGAGATGAAGCGGAAATGGAATATCTTAAGATTGCTCAGGATCTCGATATGTATGGTGTGAACTATTTTCCTATTAGTGTAGGTATAACATAACCTACATTAATTGTATCTTTTTGTCTGAATATTGTTCTATTCTTAGTATAGATTAACTTTAATTTCTATTTTTGAACTTAGTTTTATCTTTTTTTTTTTTGTTCTAAGAATTGGAAAAGATTAGGATTAAATAATTGGAATCCAACATGGGGGGCAGGGCTTAGGCCCGGTTTCACCAACGTTATTTAATCTAATCGGTCGATTAAACTCACTCTTCGTCTCTTTCTAGGGGGACAGTTAGAAAGAGACGAAGAGTGAGTTTAATCGACCGATTAGATTAAATCACATTGGTGAAACCGGGCCTTACCCGGCTTACATCATATGGTCCAATATGGCTGATGAAACCGCATAATAAATATTTTGTATCGGTAATATCGCGTAGGTTTTTGATAAATATGCAACTATGCAACATATTTGCGAGTTGGCCCGTACAAGTCCCTCTGAGAGGAAAATTATAGAAAGGGAGAAAATATTCTGAGCGTAGGTGTGCGGTTTTAATAGTTCACATCTCGCCACCAGGTGTCATAGCGCCCGATGTTGGAAGCCAATACAAAACAAGAAAATTTATATTAAGATTTTTTTCCTAATACAAGTAATACAGATTTATGTTCATTTCTATCAATGGAAATTAACTTAAAATTATATCTCGGTTTAACTCTTACTTTTTATTTTTTTTAACTCTTAGTACTGGAAACAGATAAAAAGTAAGTTAAATCAAAATTGAAGTTAATCTATATTGATAGAAATAGCAATAAATCTGCGTTACTTGTATTATTATTAAAACAAAAAAAAAATGTTAATAAAATTCTTAATATAAATTTTCTTGTGTTGTATTATAGAATAAGAAGGAAACAGATCTTTGGCTCGGAGTAACAGCATTAGGATTGAATATTTATGAAAAGGAGAATAAACTGGCACCGAAGACTACATTTACATGGTCGGAAATTCGTCATATTAGTTTTGATGACAAGAAGTTCATAATTAAGCCTGTGGAGAAAACATCGCCGAACTTTATGTTCTTCTCGCAGAAAACTCGCATGAACAAACTGGTAAAGAAACAGTCAGATGTTGGCAGCTGGGTGAGGGGCTTGATTGCTTTAAAGTTGAACAAACATAATAGTGACACAGCTGCTCATGTATTATTTGTTAAGATCCTAGACTTGTGTATTGGCAATCACGATCTATTTATGAGGAGGCGCAAACCGGACTCCATGGAGGTTCAACAAATGAAAGCACAAGCCAAAGAAGAAAAATCCAGGCAAGTAAACGTGTATGCTTTCGTAAAATAGTTTGTTTTTATCTTGTAAAAGTTCTGTGTTTATGTTCAGAGTGTTTGATGAACTTATTAGCCATATTGTTTGATTTTGTAATTAATGTAAATTTATCTTGAATAAATGCCATATAGTTTGATATTAAAACAGTTTTTATAAAACAGCAAATTGCACTTTCTACAGGTTGCTAACTTAATTGTTACCAGAAAAATTAAATCACTTATTTTTAGCAATATAATAATTACAAATATATAAGAAAACATTTTTTAACAATAGATCTAATCCATACTAATTTAATGTACTTTTTTTCTTTCCTTACAGCGATTTGCGACATCATTTGCTTGTCAAAATTTAACATGTCTTAAAGGGTTAGATCAGTGTAACTCTTACTCTCTTGATGTTGATAGTTTTCTGATTTAATAACAATTAATTTAAAATAAAATTAATTTTATAAACTATAAACCTATGAGCAATTACTTGATAATTGCTTAATAGAAAAGTTTATAAAATTGACAACGTATAAAACATCTGCCCATAAAAGACAGCATTGTATGAAAACGAAATTATTTTAGAAGCTTTTATAGATTGACTGCTTTACCACAAGAATACTCTACAAAAATAATCGTGACTTCATTAATCTTTAAACTTTTAATATTGTAAAATTTTGAACATATTGTAAAGCATAGATCCATCAAAATTCATATTCTTTACAAAAAGAAAATGGACTTTTTTAATCTTTTATACTGATTTGACTCTTACAATTAATCTTGTATCGTATATAGTATTTAAATGTTATTATTAATATACGAGAGTTAAGAGGCTTTGAAAAGTCTATAGCATTATGTACCTACATCGTGAATTAAGTGATGATTTTTGTTTCTAATTTGAGCATTGAAAAGAACTTTTTAAAACGCAATTTTTATATTTTTGCTCATTTAATCACAATAGTTTTAACAAAATACTTTCTTTTTCTTTCTTTTTTTCAGTTTCTTTTTCTTTGTCGGCAATTTTAAGAGGTGACAATTCTAGATATATTTTATATACGCACATATGTGTATACAAGATAATAACATAATATGTGAGGCTTACTTTTCAAAGATGGGTTCAGCATTCTAAAAAACAATAGAAAAAGTTCATATGAACCGACTATATTTTGGAGTTAAACAAATTTTCTTTTCTCATGGTTTTCTGTCTTTTCTAAAAGCTCTTATTTGTATACCTTCACTTCATAGGGGAGGTGCTCAAAATGACTGCCCTACATCTCAATACAAACATATAAATATTTTACAGAATAATAAAAAAAATCGTATATAAAATATCCAATTTTATTGTTAATGTTCCGCTCATAATTCCGCTCATAAAAAAACCGTGTAAGAAATTTTATTGTTGACATTTTTCCACGATGCTGATTGGTTCTCTCATTGCGTTGACTTCGTGAGCATCTGTCATCGCATATTTTGACAGTTTTATGTATCAAGGGTTAATAGTGTAATAGCAATAGTATAAAAGCTAAATAGCGCGCGCGAAGCGCGCGTCTGTGATGTCTAGTATTTATAAATAATCGAAGAAAATTAAATACGCTAGCGTTCAGTTTATATCAAATAAATTGTTGGAATACAAAACTCGGAAACAAGGTCGAATTAAATATATATTTATAATTTTTTTGTTTTGTTAATATTAAAAAACCAGCTTGGAGTAGAGTTCCGAAAACGGTCTACATCTGATTTCGACGAAACTTTGTAAGAAGCTTTATTTCGGATTAAGATGAAAGCCTTTAAAGGGAAATTTGGCGGCTCCTATGACAAAGCCATTTTTTAAGATAAAATGATAAAAAGTATAGGAAGATTTTAACAATTCTACAGGATGTTATAAATTGTTATAAATCACCAAAATTCGCATGAAAGGCTTTCATTTTAACTCGAAATGAAGCTTTTTACAAAGTTTTATCGAAATCGGAGGTAAACCGTTTTCGGAACTTTATCCTCGTCCTTCATCCTGTTAAAGTGGGCCTCATATATTAATTAAATTACTCTATTATACATACAATCAGTAAATATCTCTTTTTATTTTTATACATTTTATAAGAGACAATATTTTTATAAACTTTATAAGAGACCATAGTTTAAGAAAATAGAACTTGCAAATTCTATAGATGTTTGCTTAAGTAAGATACATAAAATAGAAACGAAATACACGAGGTCTGTTCAAAAGATATCTGGACTTATTTTGAATTAAACAGTCACCCAGGAATACAGCCTCTCTCAAGCAAGATCTGACATGTTTCGACTTGGTCATAATTGGTCCTCTTAATACTTTATTATATTTGATCTCACTCAAAATGACTAAGAAAATAGAACGATAAGAATGAATTAAATTTTGTCTAAAACTAGAAAGAAATATGTCATAGTAACATATGATATGATTAAAATAGCTTTTTGATATGGATAAGATCAAATTTTTTAATAATGTAATTACTTTAAAGGATGAATATCTATAAAAAGCGATATTTATTCTGAATGATAAAATATTCCATAAAGTGCGTTGTATATAGATAAAATGTAGAAGATTAACAATATTGAGATCTGCTCAAAGATGTAAAAAATTTGATTAATTCCTATCATGCAAAATTATGACTGAAAATTGGGACATGAATAATAGTGAAATTTGTCTCTTAACAGCCAAACAGATGGAACCCGTTATCAGTAATCAAAACATTACTCGCGATGAAACATGAATTTACGATTATAAATCTTTATTCCTACAATAAAGAAAATTTGAAATAAGTTTGAAATAAAATATAAACGTTGCTCACATAATTTTTTTGGTCAAGATAGTATCGTGCTTTGTGAGTTTACTCCAGAAAAAAGCAAACAGTCAACAAAAAACTTGATTAATTTTATCTAGCACATCGGAAGTGACCAGAAAAATAATCATGAAGCATGATTAGTAATTTCATTACAATAACATTTGTCATAATCTGCAGAATGTTTCCGTGGAATCTCACATACAAATACAACAATCTCCATGTTCTAACTATGCATCGTTCTTCATTAAATAAAATTTAATTGAAAATTTAATTTGAAAGGATGAAAAAAGAGTGGAAAAAGATTGATTATAGAAAATATCAGTATCAGAAATGGTCTGTAATCTTTTACAGAAAGATGCATCTCACTGGTCTTCACAAGACCTTTATTTTTAAGATTAAAATGAAAATTATGATATTCTAATGTGAGACATTTATTTCAACAATCAAACGCGACTTGCAACTAATCCAAAAGTAACTGATTCAGGCAACCATCCTGATTCCTGATGTTTTCCAAGATCAAGATTGTTAGTGAAGTATAACTTTTTGAAAATAATTACATAATACTCTTTCATAAACTTCTTAAAGAATAAAAAAAATCATTTTATGAATAAGTACATCAAATCGCAATGGAATTTCTTTGATCGGAATTAGTCCATCGTATGGTAAGTTTACTGTTGTAAGTATTACAATCAAAGTCTGGATACTTTTTGAACAGTCCGCTATATATTATCGAATATACAAGGAAATAAAATGTACGTTATCTAATCTGATAACTAATCTCAAATTGTATCTTTATCAAATATTCGATCATCTAAGTCTCTTTTAAAAACGTGTCTATAACTTTGCATCTAGGAGGCAGATTGAAAGAAATAAATTAGCACGAGAAAAACAATTAAGAGAAGCGGCAGAAAGGGAAAAGGCTGCAATGGAACAACGACTTCTGCAATATCAGGAGGAAATACGATTGGCGAATGAAGCTCTTGTAAGATATGAATAGAAAATTATATAATAAAACAGAAACATAAATATAAATTAATTTATATATATAGAATGTTTATATTATGTATCCATCTTATAATTTTACGTTATACAGAGAAGATCTGAAGAGACAGCAGATCTTTTAGCTGAGAAAAGCCGCGTAGCAGAAGAAGAAGCAATGCTTTTAAGTCAGAAAGCGTCAGAAGCTGAACAAGAGATTACGCGTATACGGCTGAACAACATGAAGACTGAAGAAGAAAAGGTCCATTTAGAACGGAAGACTAGAGAGGCTGAATTATTAACGGAAAGACTGGTTCAAGAATCGGAACGTAGAGCTGCTGAAGCAGAAAAGTTGAAGGATGAATTGTTGCGCGCAAGAATCGCTGAGAAAGAAGCTAAAGAAAAGTTATTAGAGTTCCTGAGTAGAAATGCCTACACTGCTACCATAACCGTAAGTACAGCTTTAACATTTATTCATAAACAGTGCAATTAGAAAAATGTATACCTATAATATACATATATAATATTAATATAATATATTATAATATTTATAATTGTTATATGCAACATTATATATATATATATATATATATATATATATATATATAAAATAATTTATAAATTATTTGTTTAACTTATCAACAGCCTGTGCCAAATCTATTTCCTTCTACGCAAGTGCTTCCATCGGACCTACAAGCAGATCTTCAGACCTTGCAACTAGACGCAGAACCTTTACCACCTGACTTAACATCCTATGATCTAATTGGCGATGGGGATGTCGATCAACTTTCGTTAGAGATTGAAAGAGAAAGGAGTGATTATTTGGAGAAGAGTAAACATTTGCAAGAACAACTGCGAGAATTACGTTCCGAAATTGAAGGTCTAAAAGTCGGTGAAAAGCAGTGCGAATTGGATCAGTTGCACGAGGAACAAGTTCGACTCGGCGAGAATAAATACAGCACGCTGAAAAAAGTCAAGTCCGGATCCACTAAAGCTAGAGTCGCCTTTTTTGAGGAGTTGTAATTCTTGAGAAACTATAGTGTTAACACAAACGCGTATTAATAGGATATTAGTAAAGTTCAATTATAGCAAAAAATTAAGACAACCATGTGTACGCGTTCTTTTTTTCGCTCTCTTTCACACACACGCACACAGAGAGAGAGAGAGAGAGAGAGAGGGGGGGGGGATATCCACATATTATAGAATATTCAAGTGTGATACATTACAGAGTATTCCATTTCTTGATTAGATTTCTTCATGAATTTGGAACTGTTTTTTATAAACTTTCCGAGGAAGTTCCACGTAGATATTGAATATATAAAGTTTTATTACAGATAATAAAACATTCTAGTGTAAACATATGAGTCAAAAAAGTTATCTGAAAACTGAATCAGAGACCGAAATCTGAGATTTTACTCCCTGGCAAACTATTCTTGAACTATTCCTGAACTATTTTGACACTGATATTCTATCTCTTTAATGATGCTACACTTATACTAATTTTGTCAATTTTAAATGTTCTTTATAGTAACAAATTTCTCATTTTTAATGTTAATAGTTCGGGAATGGAATATTCTGTATATATACAAAATATGTACATTTTACGCTGTTATTATTAAAACAATATAAATCTGCATACATATAAATATTCAATTAATTCGCACATGTGAATGTATTACATGTTCGCAAACAAATCAAAATAAATCTGCTATTTTCATATTTCAATATATATACGTGTACATACATTTATTTTAATATATGCTATTTTCTGAGAGAAATTCCAATACATCTCAGTATCTACTGCCTGTTTATACATATATTTTGTGCATACTTATTAAATATATAACTATATATAATAATAAATTGTAATATGCAACATTAAAACGGTTATATTTTTGTAAGAGCATAGCAATTGACTTTTTTATTGTTATAAAAGTTTGTCTATAGAAATTAATTAAACGAATTGTAATGTTCGACGACAGCTAATAGTTAACGGTGCCTGTATTTTGCTTCCTCATTAGAGGAAGCTTTGTTTTCGTAAACCTCGTATATGGACCTTTAATCGCGTATAAATCTAGGTCTAATCAACCAAATCTTAAAGAATTATATATGAAATAGGGGTAGAAAAGACCGAAAAAAAACTTTTTTTTTAGTTTTTGATGCCAATGTGTTCAGAGAATGTTCTAAAACGTCAGAAAATCGCATTAAAAAACTAATTTATTGCTTACTGCTTAAGTTTTTGTATGTGCCACACCCGGCCTTTAACTCAACCCTTACGGAAAAAACATCCAATTTTCGGTGTAAAATACTCTCAAAAAGACCAACAAAGGTTTGGTGTAAATTCGGATCGTCAATTGATGGTCAACACCGAAATGAGGGTTAACCACGAAAAGAATTCATCCTCAAATAGGATACCCTCAAATGAGTGTAACTCCCAAATGATACTTTGCAATGAGGAAATCTACAAATAAGGTATACCCTCAAATGAGGTCACTCCCAAATCAAGGAAACCTCCAAACGAAGAATGACCCTAAAATAAGTATAACTATATATTATAATAAATAAGCTCGAATCGAAGGGATTATTAAAATCTGCATGTTAGCTGTTATATTAATAATGAAATTGAATGACAATAATGACAAATTTCGGAAAATATATGTGTAAAAGGTGTCAAAAATTTTTATTTAACAAACTATTTTATATTATAATACATCAGCGTGCAAAGTTCATGAAGATGACAGGATGAATACTAGTTTTAGTTTAATGTAATTGTACTTGCACATTTTTCACGTAGATTGCATATTCATCTGATTTATTTTTCAGTTTATAAGTAACCCACAACAGATAGTGTAACTTATAATACAGAAATAAATAACCCGTATTTTTATTATTACATGTACCTATTAATTTTAAAGAATTAAATACCATTCTTTATTACAATTTTAATATTTTTAATTTAATTACTTTTTTAAACGACATAAATAATAAAAAAATAGAGCTCAATATATGTACAAATAAAATATGATAGTTACCGCGTTTAATATTCGACGTATAAAATTATCAAGGTAAAGTCATCGAAAAGTGAATAATTTACGAGATATTTGATATTTTATATTAAAAATATCATGATAAAGTTTGATGAAATATCTTAGGAAATTCATAACGCGAAAGAAAGCTTTATTAGTGTTTTGAAAAGCTCTCGAAGTAAGCTACAAGAAAATGCATTGAAAAATAGGAATTTCCATTTAAGAAATTAAAGGTGATCTTCATGTGATCTTCAAACTACTATCCAGGGTTAAACCAATGACACAACATATCTTATATGTCCCCCTCAAAGTCACAAAACTTTTATGAAACATTTTTCTCTAAAATGCTTTGTTTCCGAGATATAAGTTTGTAACACTTTGACAAACTCACCCTGTGTGTACACGTGTATACACACACACACACACACAAACGCACACGCACACACACACACCCATTTAATATACTGAAAATAAAATGCTATTTTAGAAAAAAAAACTGATTTGTTTTATTTACTGGAAATATATAGAAAATAAATAGCTTTCCTTAAATGATATGTAATTCGTTTATAAAATGAATAAAGCCAGACTTCTCTCGACACTAATTTTCTGAATTCTTTATCTCTATATTTAATACATTATTCTATATACATATATTAAAAATTATAAATATTACAAATTACAGGTGCACAACATATCATTCTATATATAGGCGTATTAGATCATCTTCTTTAGCAGGATAATGGGTTACTGGACATCTCTTGTTCATCCGTATTTCCGATAAAATACATTGATAGCAGAACACGTAACTATAAAAAATGGCATAGAATTTCGTATTTTATTTAAAAATAAAATGGTAAAAAACTACTTTATTGGATATTGTCTACTTACCCAGATACCATAAGCACGGTATGTATACGATGAGGTTTACAGCAGAGCGGACAAATTCCTTTATATTGCTGCGCTACGTTTGGCACCTATAAAAACAAAAGATTGAATATAGTTCAGTAATTTAAATTATTTCTCTAATTTGACAAAACACAATTATTACGCCAATTTATTTAATATGTTTATTTTTACTTTTGGTGGTGGTGGAGCTGGAAGACTCATAATATCCATATCATAATTTTCTTGGCTCCACCAAGAAAGAAATTGTAAGAAGAAAGCTCCCAATTCAAGAGATCCAGTAACGATTCTTTGAAATATATTCCATCCATCACCAAAGGTGAATGAATTGTATTTTATCTTTCTCAATAATTCGGCGATAGTAAGAGTGGATTGCGGATCGGCATATGTCAGTGTAACAGACAGTGGCCTCAGTAAGGGTGATGGATACATTGATTTCTCAGATATATAAAGTACGTAATTATATAGCACGAGAGTTTCGTATGTTATAAAGAGAATTGAATGTCCTTTAACAACACATTTACGGAAAAACTTCTGTCTTCTCTGTAACCAATATTTAATATATTAATAAGTTACTGCATCAGAATATATATTTAAAAATAACGGTTGTTTCTTGAACTTGCCCCTCTTGATATATAACCGTCTGCTTCTTGAAACTTATATCTTGTACTGAGTTGCGCAAGCTTATTCTTTAAATACGGAAATGTCACAATTAATATTAACGATAGTATTTGTTGTTTATATGTTAATTTTTCCTTCAACGTAGAATTAACTACTGTGACACGCTTCAAACCGTAAAATGTTTCAGAAAATGACGCAGCTGAAAATGATAGTATGATAAATATTCTTTTTTTTTTTCAAGAAAAATATATTAATAAATTATATAACAGTATTAAAATATGTCATATATTAGAAAGACACTTACAATATCTCTTTAGGTAATATCGTTGAAGAAGCACATTAAAAATTAAATAACCTTCATCTGTCCATTGAAGAATATGCCCATATCTTTCAAGATTAAAAGAGACAAGAATCTAAAATTATTAAAAAGATTTACATGATTTAAAAACTCAAAATATAATATAAATATGGATTTATACATACAGTAAGACAATCAACAATCTTTTTAAGGTATAGTGGGTTGACTACTTATAAATTTTACAAATATATGGAATACATTTTCTAAAAAATCTTTAATAACAAAAATTATATCTTTTATTATATTTTAAACATGGCGTTACAAGAAATATCTTAAATAACACAATATACCGAAAAAATCTTTTTAAAAGCTGGCTCAAGAGTAGACGCAAGTGATTCCTGTGCAATAATTTCAAAGATAGAAGGCCTGATGTACGTGGTTCCAGTCAAATGAGCACCTTTCTCTGCCATAGTCTGTTTACATAAAATTGTATTATTAATCTATTCTCTTAGAATTAACCTGTATCAATGTTTATCAAATATTTATCGCATTCTTTCCGCTGTACGAGGTACCTTAAATCTTGAATATAACGGCTCCCCCCCTCCGATTTCTTTGAAATTTTATTAAAATTTGATATATTTTGGGTTGTAAAAAAGATTCTGAGAAAATCGTCGCTCATGTTCCGTTTTAGGTACCTACATTATTTGTTAATAATCTCACCGTTTTGTACAGAGCAAACTGTTCTCGAGGTTAATATAAAATTTCTATTTATCATGTTTGTCATGCTTTCGTAATGGCTAAAGTCCGCAATAGCTATATACGTGCTTTCCAAAAACGACACAAGTCGAAAGCGTCACTCCATCTTTGTTGCTCACTAGGGCTGCGTTCGGGGAGCGCACTATTATTAAGGCTCAGTCACAATGAGAAAAATAAGGAATAAGATAAAGGAATAAGGAATAA